GGCGAAAGGGGTCGATGACATGCGCACCGTTTCCCTTCAGGTACAGGTAGTGGGTTGCATCGTACCAGAGGTCGCGGTGCGTGACAGCAACCTGCAAAGCACGGTTGTCGACGCGAACAATAGGATATGGCAGATGATTCTAGATGAAGGCTTTGAGGTAGCTGAAATAAACAGAGAGGTACATAGGTGGGGTCGTTTCAAACGAGTCAGAGTTCACTTTTATGGGAGGCTAGGTCATGAGGTAGGTTGGTGACTCGCAGGAGACGCAGTAGCTTTTTTGGGAAGCGTCTGAGCCCTTCGGTGTCCAGGTTAGCTAGTAACGAGGGAAACAACCAGGGAAACTCTTTGACAGGTGGTATAGATAGATATGATTCCAAAGTGGCACCAATATCTAAGACATGTAGCGTACGAAGGAGAAATCGATGTAGGAAAGAAGGCCAATTAAATTCACACGTAGAGTATATGTCCAGGGTGGCAAGAATAGGTTGAAGTAAGGAGATATAGAAGAACAGCTAAGGGAGATGAAGCTGATGGTATATGGTTTTGTATCTTAGGGACATGGCACAACCACCTAGCAATCTGGACTGCGAATAGGTATATGATAATAGAACAGAAAACAGCAGAAATAGGGTGGTATTGGAGATTTTAATTATAAAAGTACAGACTGGAAAAGAATAAAGCAGGAGTGCAGGGAACATTTATGGCTAAAAAAGAAAGTGGCTGGGAAGATGACGCTCCTTGTTTTTGTATACTTGCCGAACGTAAATGATGCAACGCATAGAAAAAGACATTGATGAACTAAGAGAAGAGTGCGATGTAATTATATTAGTAGATATGATTGTGCACATAGAAGATATGGATGGATATACTGACCCACCTGGTGGAATGCTAAAGGATTTGTATGAAAAGCATGATTTAATCATTTGCAATAATTCCGAGAAGTGCGAAGGGCAGGTACGATGGAGGTGGAAAGGCTGCAGTAGACGATATATTATGCAATGATGTCAGTTAGGTTGTATGATCGGCTATGGATGATGAACATAGGTGAGTATGGGTCCAGAAGCTCAGGTAGCGATCACAAACGTATCAAGCTGAGTTTTCGTAGAGAAATGAAAATGAGGAGGAGGCATCATTAGCATCTACGTGGTAATATTTATCCCGAAAGGCAAATAAAAATAGCAACTAAAAGACAAAGAAAATAATCACCGAGGATACTAAAACAGAGTGGACGTACACAAGTCTAACTCAATTATTTGATTTAAAGTTTGCTAAGGTACGACTGAAATCAACCAGGGAAAAAGACACAAACCCAGGAACTGGTGGGATGAGGAACTTAGAGCAATAGTAAGGCGTCAGGAAGCCTACAGAGAACATAGGTATTCTAAACAGAAGAGTGAACTGGAAGATGATGTCTAACGAAAATAGGATAACTTTTTGAGCAGCGGAAGGGAAGCGTCCAATTTGATCAGTGGAAGGAGTAGAAGAAACAGGGCTGAATGAATGGGGGAAGTAAACAAAAAGGTTAGAAATGCAGCTGCAAAGTTTTGAAACCATCTCAATGCCCTGCGTAATAATACAAGCGTGAAACAGAGTTTTATAACTACAGTTTAAGGCGTTAGGCTAGAAGGGGATGAGGCAATGCAATATATATGAACAACGATGACGGAAAAATTTAAACACCATGGAAGCGCTGCATGCACCATACCGGATGAAGGCAGTGGCTCCACTGGAACGAGAGTGGGAAAGGGCAGAGAAGAGGGTTCTTAATAGCACATCAACAAGCGCTGACGACATCCCAATTACGGCAATAAAGAAACAAGAACAAAAGTCTAAACAAGCATCAAGAGAGGCAGCGAGGAAAGCAATGATAGAAAGTGAAGCCCCCAATGGTTAGAAGCTATGCAGGATGATCATGATCTATAAAGGAAACGGAGACAACGCAGATATAAACAGTGGCATCAGTAGTTTACAGGCTAGTGATGCAGATGTTAAAGGAAGGCCTGCTGGGAGAACTACAAAAATGGTTCCGTAAAAGAATCAGGTTGGAGGACAATCTGTTGTTGATACATTGTACTGAATAGCGGGAAAAAAAACACAGATCTCTGTGGCTAGCATTTTCAGATATCAAGGGAGCTTACGAATTGTGATTCAAGAAGATTTGGGGGGAATACTGGACACACTAAATGTGAAAGATGGAATAATGCATCATCTAAGGGATACTTCTAATAGTGACAAGGTAGTGATAAAATGGGAAGCTCAGGTATCTGAATGTTTAGAAATACAACGCGCGCTTCGTTACGGATGCCCCTTCTCACCTTTGTTATTTATGCTGTATCTACTAGGACTATAGGCCACATTAGCGGGGAGTCAAATAGGCTTCAGCCTCTTTTTTACCAAGCAAGGAAAACACGTTGAACAATCATTACCAGCATTGATGTATGCAGATGATATAGCATTAATAGCCGATAACAAAGAAGATATTCAGGGATTGATAGATGTAGCAAGGCTCAATAAGCGCCACGTCACTGTTTGTACCTTTAGTGCGCATGCCTGGCGGCGGCACTAGTTGTGTATATATACTCGTTCTTCTTCCGGCAATAAAGTTGTTCATTGCCTGAAGCCGACTCGCACACATGGTGGCAGCGGTTTCCCGTCACTATGTCGGGTCCGTCAACCCTGCTTACCCCACCCAAGCCACTGGACCCGTCGACAGACGCATGGCTTGCATGGAAGACATGGAAAAGTGAGTTCACTTTGTTGTCCACCGCTACCCAGTTGAGAAAGCAGCCTAAAGAAGTACAAGCAGCAACGTTACTCGTAAGAGTCGGCGAAGAAGGTAAGAAGGCTTACAACACCTTCAAATTCAAAGATGATGCAGACAAAAACAACGTCGAGACGTTGCTCGAAAAGTTTGAGGAATTCTACAAGCCAGTGACTAACCTGACGTTTAATGAATTCCGCTTCGGATCAAGGAACCAAAGGCCAGGGGAGAGTTTCAATGACTGGCTAACCGATCTCCAGCTTTTAGCGAAGAACTGCGAGTTCGGGGACCTAGAAGACCATTTGCTTCGCAGCCGGATTATTCTGGGATTGAGAGATAAACGCTTGCAAGAAAAGCTTATCGCCGAGAATCCGTCGTACAGCAGGACCGTCGAAATGTGTCGCGCCCAAGAAATTGGGAAGGAGCAGTTTAAGGAAATTAATGAAGGCACAGAAGCAGCAAGCGCCGCAGTTGTTCAGGCCGTCAGCACCTAAAAGCATCACTGTAGTCGGTGCGGTTATAGCGCGCACGGTAACGCAAGGTGCCCGGCTACAGGAAAAACCTGCAAAAATTGCGGGGGGCGTAATCATTTCGATCAAGCATGTAGATCGTCGGTGCGGCGACAAAACAGAGGCGTGAAAAGAGAGCTGCACGAACTACAAATGGATGAAGAAAATTTTTTCTTGGAAGCTTTGACCGTATGCGCAGTCGCAGCGGGAGATAACTGGACTGCAGCAGTTGACATCGAAGGCTGCCAATTCACGTGCAAGCTAGACACGGGTGCTAACTGCTGCGTAATTTCAAGCAAAGACTCAAAAAAGCTTAGCAATGGGCCCCTGCAAACCTGCCACGCGACCCTGACCGCCTTCTTCGGCCATAAGACCCCAACGACAGGAAAAATTCGGCTGCGCCTACGTGCTAACAGCAAAGAGCACGAAGAAACTCTTTTTGTGGTCGAACAAAATGTGCCTGTGACTCTAAGTGGATTAGTGGCGGAACGCCTAGGATTTATTTGCCGCGTGCAAAGTGTTCACGTCCAACAGTTGTACCCAGCGGCTCAACCTTTCGCAGAAGTCTTCAGTGGACTGGGACAGCTGAAAGGCGAAGAGTACGCAATGAAGTTTAAGCCTGGAGCCATTGGAATCGTCGTGCCAGCCAGGCGAAATCCCGTGGCCCTTCAGGAAAGAGTCGAGGAAGAGCTCAAGCGTATGGAAGAACAAGGCGTGATAACTAAGACAGAGGTTCGCTACCTTGGGCACGTGCTCACTGCCGAAGGCTTGCGTGTGGACCCACAACGTGTACAGGACATTTTGGAAATGCCGACACCAAAGAACTGTAAGAAGCTACAAGTCTTTTTGGGCATAATGAACTTTGTACAGCGTTTTATTCCAAACATGTCTGAGGTCACAGCACCACTTCGTACTTTGCTGCGGAAAGACACTGCATGGGTCTGGACGGAGGTGCAGCCAGAAAGTTTTCTTAGACTGCGTGAGGCTCTGATACAAGCGCCAGTACTCCGGTATTTTGATTCCAGTAAACCGGTGACCTTATCGGTGGATGCGAGCCAGCTGGGGGTGGGCGCTGTCCTAATGCAGGATGCGCAGCCCGTCGCATTTACGTCACGGACACTTACGGAAGCGCAGACAAGATACGCACAGATAGAGAAGGAAACACTTGCTATTGTACATGGGTGCACTAAATTTCATGACTACATGTTCGGACAGCATGCAGTGACTGTGGAAAGTGACCACCGTCCCTTAGTAGCGATATTCAGTAAGCCGTTGTATCATTTAGAAAATTGAAATTGCTCCAGCCACAGTTCAAAAAGAGCCCGACGTTTCGAGACCGACTCGGTCCCTTCCTCAGGGGGTGACTGTCTTGGTCATGGAAGTGTCGTCGCGTCGTGTTCTCTCACCAAGACAGTCACCCCCTGAGGAAGGGACCGAGTCGGTCTCGAAATGTCGGGCTCTTTTTGAACTGTGGCTGGAGCAATTTCAATTTTCTACACTTTTCTACCCAGCCAGACAGATTGCTGTCAAAATGTTTACGTTTAAGCCGTTGTATCAGTGCCCACTGCGGTTACAACGCATGCGCCTTACTCTACCTTGTTACCCCATCCATGTGACTTACAAACCGGGCAAAGAACTATTCCTAGCTGATGCTTTGTCAAGGTTTCCGAGCAAAGCATGCATGCCAGAAGACGAGCAGTTTCAGGTCAATGTTCTTCAATGTATTTCAGCCTCTGCACGCGCGCTGCAAGACTTGCTTCAAGCCACCAATGAGGACTCGACCCTGAGCAAGCTCCGCGAATACGCAAGTACAGCATGGCCGCTTCACAAGCAAGACGTCCCCGAGCCACTTCGGACGTACTGGGAGTACCGGGACGAGATACACGAACAGGACGGCCTCGTATTCCGGAGTAACAAGGTAATCGTGCCACAATCGAAGACATCAGAAATGATGAGTACTCATCACTCAGCGCATGTGGGAGTCGAAAAAATGAAGGCCAGGGCAAGAAACGTGATGTTTTGGCCGAATATGGCGGGCAACATCGAGCAGTTCTGCAAAGCTTGCAAAGTATGTCAAAAGCATAAACCTCAGAACCCTAAGATGCCACTTTTGAGTCACGAGGTACCCTCGCTACCATGGCAAGTTGTCGGCATAGATTTGTTCTGTTTCGAAGGCCGAGAGTTCGCCGTCATTGTCGACTTCTACTCGTTCTTTGAACTACGAGAGTTTCGGACGACAACGGCGAGCTCGCTTAAAATATGGTGTTCAGAAATTTTTTCCGTCCATGGCTTGCCACTTAAGTTGTGCAGTGATAATGGCCCGCCTTTTAGCAGTCATGAGTTCAAGGAGTTTCTGAACACTTTGGGCATTGCTCACGTAACCTCAAGCCCCTACCACCCGCGGTCAAACGGCATGACGGAAAGAGAGGTCTAGGAGGCAAAAAAGCTTTTTAAAAAGTGCTCATTGAAAATACCCGTGTTTCAAATGGCTTTGCTTGAGTGGCGCAATACTCCACGTGATGATTTGCTCCAGTCCCCTGTGCAGAGGCTGATGGGACGCCAGACTAGAACTCTGCTACCGGTGCCTACCAGCCATTTGGAACCGAGGACCATTCCACCGAAAGTGGTACAGGGCCGCCTTCAAGAAATACGGCAACGACAGAGGACCTACTACAACCGCGGTAGCAGAACACTACCGCCTGTGAAGCCAGGCCAGCAGGTCACCGTATATGATACAAACCAGCGGACCTGGGCGCCTGCAGTCTTCATCAGACCGTTCGGGGAAACCCACTCGGCCATCGTTAAAACAGAAGACGGCCGGGAACTTCGGCGCACAAGAGAGCATCTCCGCTTGCTAGAACCGCAACCAGAATCAAACCAGCCAGAAGCGAGCCTTGTCCCTCCAAACGGGGCGTCCTCAACGGCCCCTACAGAACTACGGCGAAGCACAAGGCAACGATGCGAGCCCTGTCGGTACCCTCTACCTGAGAGGCGCTAACCAGGTGTTAACTGCCCCGTAAAAAGGGAAGATGTAGCAAGGCTCAATAAGCGCCACGTCACCGTTTGTACCTTTAGTGCGCATGCCTGGCGGCGGCACTAGTTGTGTATATATACTCGTTCTTCTTCCGGCAATAAAGTGGTTCATTACCTGAAGCCGACTCGCACACAATAGACATCTGCGGTAATAAGGTAAATAGGCTGAATTGGAGGATCGTTGGGGGAAATTGGCAATTGTTATTTTTAATGATAACGAAGGCAAGGAGCATAAGATACAGGGAGTGGTGTTCGAGATATGGGATAAATAAAAACTTCAGCAGATGCCACGTACATTGGAATCGACATTATGCGAAGCATGCGGAAGGAAGGTGACCGTGTTGCCATTTTTAATTGAGCGACACTTCATGAAATGATGCTAAATAATGTACAAATGTTGCACGCACCGACATATGTTGAATAGTTGCAAATTTTTATATAGGCAGTTGTCTGCATTTGCGCGAAGATGTCAGCTGGAACATGCGTATTAGCAACACCAGAAGCTGATATAAAGCGCTGATGCTCACGAAGGTGCAAGTCCTGGACACTGCTACATGAATCAAGTTCAGCGCAAGGCACCTAACCACAATTGACGTTAACCCGACGCGACAGCTGTACCGAAGGAGTACATACGTAATGTTTATAAAATTGGATAGGCGGCATGGCAACTACTATTGGCGTTTCACGTAGATTGGCGTCTAATTGAAAAGTCGTTTCGTGACCTGGCGTAGCTCTGTGGTAAAATGCTTCATTGCCAAGTTGAATGACTGAGTTCGGTTCCAGCTGAGACGCTAACATTTATTCTTCGCATTCGTTGAGTCGACGCTGTTGATGTCGGGTATTTTTTAACGCTCGCGTGTTAAAATTGCCCATGTGTGTTCTCGTCATTCGTGGCCAGATACTAATTGTCAATCACCTGTGGCACATACCAACGGCACATACCCGCCCATGGGTATGTGCCATTGTCTGGCGAGAAGTGTTTCACGACGTACGTGACGGCTTTGTAAAATTATTTATGTCTTCACCAATGCGTCTTATTCGTGAAACCATCTTACTCTCCCATGCTAATTTTGGTTTACGCCAAGTTAAGGGGCTGACCACGAGAGCACCCTAACGTAAGCGGTTATATAGATAGATAGATAGATAGATAGATAGATAGATAGATAGATAGATAGATAGATAGATAGATATGCTCAAAGTCGCCGAAGTTCGCTAAGAAATGCTCCGCATTTAAAATATTTGGGTGTATGAATAAACAACGGGGCTGAGTACCTACAAGATTGCGAAAGATACTTGATCACGAAGGGTAACAGGAATGCAGCTGTAATGAAAAACAGGGCACTGTAGAATTACAATAGGTATGACGTCACGAGCGGGATTTTGAAATGTGTCATGGTACTAGGTTTGACGTTTGGCAATTCGATCTTGTGCATGAGATCAGAGGTTGAAGCAATATTGGAAATTAAACAACTTGGCGTAGGTAGCCTTGCTTTGGGAGCACATCGTAATGCCCCGAATCAATGGAATAAGGGTGACATGAGATGGACATCGTTCAATTGCATAGAAGCTAGCAGCAAGGTAGAATTCGAGGAGTGATTGAGAAAAATGGGAGAGGAGCGTTGGGCTAGGAAAGTATTCAACCATTGTACATGAAGAGTGTTGATACTAAATGAAGGAAGTGAACTCGAAATTTTTCAAGCAATTATTTAGACAACAGTAAAACACCAAGCCAAAAAATAAACTTTGGTTCAGATGGCGGTGAAGGAAACAGAGAGGAACATGTGAAAAATTGGAATGCTTACATAATATTCACTGGACACCTACCGAACTTTCATGCAGAAAATTGCAAAAGAAAAGATCTAAGATAAATCTCGGGGTAGTTCTCTGCTGTTCGAGGCCAGAACGGAAGTATCACAGACCAAGACATACCTAGCCGAATACGAAGGCACAGACACGCTATGTAGTGCGTGTTGAGAGGACGAGGGAAAGGCTGGACATTTGGTAATGTTCTATGAAGGAGTCCGTTATGTATTACAAGATAATGGCTCCGAATTTTTCAAAGCATTGAAGTTTGGAGACAGTGAAGGCTAAATAGACTTTAAACGGTTATGAATAGCCAGGAGGAGGCTAACTTATTGGTGGCTACAACGAAAGCGCGGGTGAAATTCAATCTTTCAGCACATAGTGACAGTAGTTAACTTTATGGCTAGGGGGCATGAGCCACCACCCAATCTAACGGGCGCAACCATCTATCGATCCATCCATCAATTCAAGCGATGCATCAGAAATATTAGAGCAGCAAACTCAAGCACACCACGGAAACACCGCTGGTACCATTGAAAAAACATTACTGGAAGTGATGCCCGGAAAGTCTTCTTGAGTATGCGCTTCGGTGCGGGCCAGTTTGTTTAAACAACGAAACCATCTATATCTATGCAGCTGCACACTTTGTTGACCTTAATTAACGACCCCTGTGCACTGTAAAAGTAGACCTTTAAACCACTCGCCTGGTGTGCCATTCGCGCCATGTGATGCGACACCTCGCGAGCTTCTACTATGCAATATGGCCCGTTAACGGGGCTCCTCGCGCTATGTAACATCTGTACATTTTTCTGAAACAGCTGCAACGTGTTTCATCCTATGAACTTGTTTTGCAAGATATAAATAAAAACTAAGTCATTTACATACATTATGCTGCAGCACCATTATCTCAATTTAGTTAAAATAGAAATGAAGTCTTAGTGGTGAAGCCTATCCAATCTATGCCCTCCTGTCTACAGTGATGGTCAAGTAATCATCATGCTTTACTGCGGAGCTGAAGGTTGCGGGATTCAATTCTGGACGCAGCAGTCAAATTTTCATAGAAGCAAAATGCTAGACGCCCGTGGGCTTAGGTTTCAGTGCACGTGAAGGAACTACACATGGAAAAAATTCAGCAGTCTCAACTACAACAATATCGCGTTGTGGTTTTGGGACGTATAGCCCCAACATTTAAGCTTACACTCGGCAATTTATGGAACATTGCACTGTAAAAGCTCTAAGGTCCAGAAGCATATTGATTGTACTGTACTGTCGCTAGTTAACAGTCAGTCGAGGTTGCGTTATAGTGCCCAACAGGTATGGTGGCTGTGTGTTAATTTAAAAAATATCGAGCACCTTTCTAGCATTTCTGCATTCATGCTCATCAAACAATATTCTTTCAATTAAAATAGAATCTCCTTCCTAGATTACAAAGTCACCCTAGCGCAACTAGGATAAGCCCATCTGACCAAGCAGATGATTATAATACTGGTGGTCGCTTTTTAGCTTTCGCACGCCAACCCTGATTATGAAGCAGAAGTTCGTGTTCTCGAGGGTGAATGCCTTGTAGGGACATTTAATTTCAACTACACTATAGGATTGTTCCACTGGGCCACAAACCTTTCTGGCGACGCCCCCAACCAGGGAAAGGCTGGGTTTACTAGCACTGCACGGCCGCTAACGACGGGAGCATAACCCATCTTACTAACGCTGAGTGTTAAGTGCCTCTATTTTGATGCTACAACTAAAAAAGTAATGCAAATAAACTTAGTAAAACTCTGCAACTTGACTACTACTTTTTGAACAATTTCACACAGGAACATATTTGAAAACATGGTGGGAAAACGACACGCCGACTCCGACTGTTTTCCTCGGTCTCCTGTTGAGATGGCCGCATAGGACGATGATGACGACACAGCCTTTTTGGGAATCGTGGCCGCAAGCATGTCTGTTCAGCCTCTTGTTCGTGGTTGTTGCAGCTTTACTCCTCGCTGATCGTGGGCTCTCTGCTGGTTCGGTGGTTTTCGGTGCTTGTTGAGTGGCTAAGTAGCTAATGATTTTTTTCTTTGTTGTTGCAATTTTCTTTATTACATGCAGGATAAATTTTCTTTTGTCGATGTTCTAGAATTGAGACTGCAATTATGTCTCGGAATAGTCCGGATGAGGATCGTTCCCTGTGCACGCTCTCACTGCACAATGATGACTTACCACTTTACTTGTTTCTCCGTGGTGGCATAAGCAGTATTCCCGTCGCCCTAATGCTTTTGGGTGGGCGCTTCATCAAGCTGAATACTGATAAGGCAATGCAAGAAAAATTTCATGCTGTGACCTGAAACTACCAAAGCATAACCGATGTGTGGCAGTTTGTCGCGGCGGAGTTGTATACAGGTCACTAGACCAGCAATGTGTAAAAAATATCTTGAAAAGTTCTTCCTCTGCTTCGATCCCGGTGAGTACATATATACCATCACATCTCGCATGCACTAACGGCATTGTATGTGGTGTAGACGCAAAATTAAGCCATGAGAAGACGCTCAAGAAGCTTTCGGGGGCAGGTCTAAGCCGGCAGTGTACAGATGTAATCGAGTGGTAGACAACAAACAAGCCCCAACAGAGTTAGCGATTGCGACATTTGTAGGTAGATCATGTCCTTCTGAACTTAAAACATGACCATTAGATTTTAGGGTGAATCTGCTAGCGTCCCTCTTATTGCAATGACGGAACTGCTGGAGCTTCGGACATAGCTCTCGTGGCTGCAAATCAGATGGTCGATGTTTTAGATGTGTGGAAAGTCGCTCAGATCGAGATTGTACGGCCTAAGCTGCCTGATGTCTTGTGCGGTAGGCATCACGCAGCTGACTTTGCAGGGTACTTGATTCGCCAATAAAAAATACAAGTTCTAGAAATTCTAGACAAAAGGAGATGTTTTAGCAAGGAAGCCATTGCAGATGTCAATGAGAGAGCACATGGTTAATTATGCTGGTCTTACAGCACGTCAACCATGTCCAGCGGCTATATTGCACAGGCAGTTGAGGTAGTGGTAGGAAGAGCTATAGCTAGGGTAAAGGGCCAATTGGTAGCTAGCACCTCCAAATACACATATGTCGTTGGAAGTGCTAGCTACCTCATGTCGTCAGTAATCAAATCGCTAAACTGATGATCCCAACTACTCTGGGTAATCATCAGTCAAGTAAAATACCGACTGCCAGAAATGCTAATGCAGTATGTAATGCTGAGGTAAATGTTGCTGATAACTTACATGACTCCTCGGAGTGTAAGTTACATGTTGATAAAGAACAAGCATTAGATCTAAATGTGTCTACTGATGTCG